AATAGAGACAAGAGGATTGGCAGCGACTAACATAATGATAAATAAAAAGAAAAAAAAAATCAGATCTTAAGCACGAGACTATTGTTAGTTATCACTAAGGTTTCGTTTGGCAAGTGATGATTTTAGTCAAAAAGTTACTAAAAAATTAAAAAATCAACAACTTATATCAAAAAGTCAAAGATTCACTTTTCTCTATACTTTTTGCACATTTTTTCGTAAAAAACTAAAAAGTCATTCCAAAATACTACTTTTTTTTACCTTATATTTTAACTAAAAAGTCAAAAAATTATTAAAATAGCATGTTCTCAAACGAGACCTAAGTTAACAATACTCCTTGTTGATAAATTAGTAGATATATTTTATTTATTATATTCAAATCATTTTCTTTCATGTATTGGTATAATTAACATTTTTATAAATAATATTAATTTAAAAATAATTCATAAATATATTTATACAAATATGTAATATATTTAATACTTATTTTTTTAGTGAATTATAATTTTTAATACATTTATTAATTAATTATAACATTATAGTTCAACCTAAATTGACTTGATTTTGATTCAATGATGCGTCACTTAATTTATTTATTTTTTTAATTTGCTTATTGATCTGATTTTTAAAATCTTACATAAATGGTGTCAAATATTTGAAAAAAATGTAAACGAGAGAGAAACAGCACGTGCATAAGGGAGTAGAGATGGCAATATGAACCTGGCCCGACAGGGACTCAGACCCCCCGTCCTGATAAATAGGGTTTTCCTCGAAAATTATTCCCCATAGGATCGGGGCCGGTATTGAAAAATACATCCTCGATGATTTTCAGGTCGAGAACGGGGATAGGCTCTTAGGCCCCGACCCGACCCTGTCCCGAAATTTCCCCGAAACATCCTGCTATGTACCTGTGTTAGTGTTTAGTTGTATTAGATTATTATATATGTAGTGTATTCTAGTTGTTTGTATCATATTATTATATGTCTAGTATATTATATATCTCACTGTCTGAATCACTCTCTCACTCCCTCGTTCTTCTCCTCTTTCGTTCTTTCCTCTCACTCTCTCTCTCTCACAGTCGCCGTGTCCCACCACCAGGCCCCGACCCCCCTCTCTCTCTCTTCTCCTCACCTCAATTTCTTTCTCTCTTTATTCCTCATGGCCACTGCCACCACCACCACCACCGCAGAAGGTCCGTCTTTCTCTCACCACCACCGAACCCACCACCACAGCCACCGTCGATCTCGTCACAGCCACCGTCTCTCAGATCTGTACTCAGATCTGTTATTTCTCTCTCTCTCTCTGATCTGATTATTGGTACTCAGATCTATTTTTTTCAGATTTTTTTTTTCATTTAAATCTGTTGATGATATGAAAACATATATATTTTTTTCAAATTATTTTTTTAATTTAGATTTGTTGATGATGATGAAAACATATATATATTTTTTTCAGATTATTTTTTTTTTAATTTAAATCTGTTGATGCTGATTGTTGGTACTCAGATCTGTTATATTGATTTGTTGTTCTTGAACAAAATTAAAATTAAAAAAAAAAACTCGGGTATTTTTCGGGGTTGGGGAAAGTCAATCCCCGTTAGGGGATGGGGACGGGGACGGGGGGTGATGGGTTCCCCCGCCGGGGTTCGGAGACAGGGACAGGGATTTTTTTAACCTTCGGGGATCGGGGATCGGGGACGGGGAGTGTGGTCCCCGGCCCCGTCCCAGCCCCAGCCCGTTGCCATTCCTATAAGGGAGTCGTGTTAGACGTCACAAAATTTCGAGACTCGAATGTCTTGAATCATGTTATTTATTTTTATTTTTTTTTCAAGAGTGGTTATTTTAGTGTTTGGGAAGTTTATTTTTTGGTTTTATTAATTTTTTTTCATTAAAAGACAAATTAATTACAAAATCAAAAAAATAAATTCAAACAAAATATCACATCAAACCTCATAATCATTTTACTTTTTCTCTCACAAACATCACATCCAACCACAAAAAACCTAACTATATTCCCAAACATAATTTTTTTTTCTCCAATAATATCCTACAACTAAAAAAACCTACCAAAAAAAAATTAACTTCCCAAATACCCACTATGTATAAGGGTGTGTTAAAAAAATTAGACATTTTACACCAATTTTAGTCTGTGTGGTTTGATAAGGTGAATGAGTTAAGTTGGACTGATTTGGTGATAAAATTAACTAATCAGTTGGACTGTTGGTTAAAATTTATTAATTCTATATAGTTTTATACGAGTCCCTATTATATTTTTATGTCAAAATCCGAGTCTTTCTAATTTGAAATAAAAAATCGAAGGATTCGTACAAAACTACATAGAATTAATAAATTTTAATCAGTAGTCTAACTAATCAGTCAATTTTATCACTAAACTAGTCCAACCCAACTCACTCACCTTATCAAACTACACAGGCTGAGTTGGTGCGAGATGTTTAGTTTTTTAGTACACCCTTACACATAACCACATTGCCAAAATAATAATAATAATAATAAAATAAGAAAGGAAAAAAAGGAAAAAAGAAAAAAAAATCAAACCAACACGGCCCAAAAGAAAAAAAAAAAAACAATTTCAAGGTATTTGAGTTTTGAAATTTTGAGGTCTCAAGCATTTTTCTTTGGAAATTAGGTTAAAAGATAATTTTTTAATTTTTTTTAAAATGTGTAAAAAAGTAAAGAGATGATGTAATTTAAAAAAGCAAATAAGCTAGCTTTTAACCTATTTTTCAAATTTTAAAAATTAAAAATTTATTAAGTTATGAGTTATGAAAATCATTATGAGATAATTTATAATTTTTATATTTTGTTTCTCTTTTGTAGTAGAATAAATAGGTATAAGAAAATTTGATTGATTGATATATAAAATGTGAGGAGAGAGAAAAATAATTAATTGATTTATTAATATAGGGAAGAAAATCAAGATAATCGTAGTGAAATAAATCAGCTTTACGTAATGACAGAAGAAAAAACTATATCACAAAATAAGATATATAATATTGATGAGATAGATTTAGAAAAATTTACCCTAGAAGACATGAATAAAATACTAGATGCCAGATATTATGAATACTTAGCCAGAGGAGATACCCATGAAGAAGCAGTGTCATTTTTAGATCAGGAATTTCATACGGAATATGTAGATGATATCATAGAAGATAATATACATCCTAGCAAAATTTTTAGAATACCAGAACAACCTGACCACCTAGAAGAAACTTTTTATATGACTACAAAAAGCTCTGGAACCAATAATCGACAACCAACTGTAGAAGATCCAATAGAACCAATGCAGTATGCAGTAGGAGGAAGAAGACCATTAGCTAGTTCAGGACGTAGTCAAGCAGACCCAGATAAAGGCTATAGATTTCATGGAAAGCGTAGACAACTAGATAGGAGTATAGAATTGCAGCCAGTCCATAATCAAGGAACCCTTTTAGATTTAGCTAGATTCGACCTGGCAGGAAGTAATAGAGAGATGGGAAAAAGATGCAGTAAAAGCATGGATGACTAGTCCCTATGAATCAACAGATATGTGGGAATATATGGAGACACTTTTAGGAGATTCAGCTTATAATATTTATTTAACTTTTAAGGGGAAATATGAAGAAACAATTAAACAGCTCAAAGAATTAGGAAATAACCCGTGGAATTTTACAAATTTTATTAAAGAAATACTTATAGGATATGATCCTTCTAGAGGAAATGACTCCGCTCAAAGCATAGCATTAACCGAGTTAGACCAAATGACATTAGGAAGTTGGAAATATATTGTACCTTTTAGTAGAGAATATTTAGCCATAGCAGCAAGAACTGGAAAAAGCTTTGATGAAGAAATAGGAAATAAATATTTCAGAAAATTACCAGGAGAATTAGGAAGAGAGATAGAAAACAAATGGTCAGTTTATTATGCAAGTTTACCAGCAAGAATAGCTACTGGAGAATTAAGAATAAGAGGAACTTTAGGAATAGGACCTAGAATAATTTTTACATTCTATAAGCTTAAAGAAAAATGTATAGAAGTTAAAATACAGAAAGACTTGAAAAAACAAAGTTACGGCTTTTGTAGCAGTGTAATATATACTCCTAAATATACCATAAAATCACATTAATTATGATGATCATAGAACACTAACCAATTCCCGGTTCGGCCGCCGATAAGGCCTTCAATTAGCAGTTTAAACACTAAAATACGAACAGATCAAGTAATCAATCAAACAGATAGAATACAAATTAACATACATACTCAGTCAATTCAGTTCCAGTTTTCAGTCAGTCAGTTTAGTACTTTAATCAGTTCAATTATCAGTCATAATCAGTTCAGTTATCAGTAATCAATGTTCATCGGTAAGCAGTGGTGAGGGTTATTACAGTAAATTATCAATATACTCTCTAAGATTTGCTTAAAATACAAACTATAGGAGTAATTTAAAAAATTACAAATACCCTTTTATCAGAATTTTTTATTTAACAGAATTAATTAAAAAAATGAAATTCATAATTACTCTCCCATATAATAATAAAATTATCTAAATTATTAATTAAAATATATTAATATCATTAAAAATTATTAATTAATTTTATGACTTATTAATAAAATAAACAATTTATTATAAAATTAAAAATCTTAAAAAATATAATATAATTTTTTAAATTACAGAGAGCTTTTAATAAAATCAAAACGTGTAATAAAATCAAAACGTGTATTTACCCAAAAATTTATTAACCAAACGTTTTTTATTTTTATTTTTATTTTTATTTTTAAAACGTGTATTTACCCAAAAATTTATTAACCAAACGTTTTTTATTTTTATTTTTATTTTTATTTTTAAAACGTGTATTTACCCAAAAATTTATTAACCAAACGTTTTTTATTTTTATTTTTATTTTTATTTTTAAAACGTGTATTTACCCAAAAATTTATTAACCAAACGTTTTTTATTTTTATTTTTTTTATCCAAATATTAATTTAAAAGTTAAACCAAACGTTGCCCTAGTTTTCACGGCCTCTCGAAATCTACACTCACTTTCTGAATCATCCCTGCAAAAATCAAACCCTTGTTTGTTCCGATCTCTGTTTACTACTCACACCATGTTCGATGAAAAGCTTCACAATCTCTAACCAGAGCTCTAATTCTCGAAATTTAATATATATAATTCATATATACAGTTGGATATGTATAGAGATCGAGGAGGTGGAGGTGGAGGTGGAGCTGGATCCTCGAAGTCGGAGATCGTTGGTGAGCCGTTGGATCGGAAGCGTATCAACGACGCGTTAGATAAGCAGTTGCAAAAATCGTCACCGTCGGCTTCGAGAGGCTTGAACAGCAGCAACAAGGACAAAGACACAGTGTCTCTGCCGTCCACTTCTACAGCTGCCGGAAGTGCCGTCGCCGTCGCCGGAAAGTTGCAGCTGCTTGACGGCCGTGATACTCGGCCGTCTTCCACTCCCTCCGCCAAGAACAAATGCTCTGATGGTTGGTTGTGTTTTCTTATTATTTTCCATTTCCTGCTTGTATTACACTCCGCGGTGGTGGTGGTGTGATGATGGAGGTGAGAGAGGCGGTGGTACTGTAGTGACATTGGTAAAACCTTAGTTCGGAAAACATTTTTTTGCCTTTTGAAAGTGAAAATTATTTTCTACCTTTGGTTGACTTTCGTTTTTTCATTGTACCAAACACTATAAAATACAATAAATGTTTTCTAGAAACGTTTTCCGCCCAAACAGAACATTAGTGAATTATGCTTATGAGTTTTATGTTAATCTGTTCTGGTGATATATAGGATATTTTGTGTGTTTATGTATGTATCGTGTGAAGTGTTGAAAAATTTGAATTTGAAACACTCCAATGGACAGATAAACTCAGATTTAAGTATAAATTTGAGTAAAGATTTAGTAATTGTAAGGTTTTAAATTTGAAAGTTACAAAATGGTCTTGTAAAATTTGAATCTCCCTTGATTTGGGTGAGAATAAAACTCAATTTGATATAAGTTTGAGGAAGGAGTGGTGATGTTTTTTGTGTGATTTTTACCCAAATTTAAATTTGATATTAGTTTGAGGGTTGGAGATGCCCTTAGAAGTTTGTGATTTGTCATCAGTTTGGTGGGTTATAGGATAAAGGTGATTAATGTTTTGGGTGCAAAGACATTAGTCATTTTCTTTTGTTGGCATTGATGGAACTGTCTATTATTTTTTAGGGTAATGGGAACGAAGAACCTGGTGAAGAATTGCCCATTTGCTTGGTGACCTGTGCACAGGATTAGTATTATCTAAATGTTGTAGAATGATAAATTCAGTGATGCTTGAGATTTATCTTTTGGGTCTTGCTAACAAGTGTCCATGGGACATAAGAAAAAAGACAGAAAAAAATTATAAAAACAAAAAAAACAAAAAAGAACAGAGAAAAAGAACTAACTATCGAGGACAAAAAATATTAGAAAAGTCTAATTTTGAACTCTATTTTCTCACATTTAAAATTCAAATTTCCTTTTTTTGGAAAGAAAAATTTTCAGCTCCTGTGCAAAAATGGACTTCTTAGACTACGGGGAACAAGGGGTCATTCTTCACTGAATATCAAAGGAGGTTCAATTTTTCTATTATTGTATTTAATTTGAGAGTCAAACCCGTATCACCTAGCTAGCTAGAACATTTTTTATAATCATGATTATGGTTCAAAAAAATGGCCAGTTCGTACCGCAACAGCTGCTTTGAACTGGTTTTTCTGCTTTCCGATTCAGATACAGCTTGCTTATCGGTGGGATCCAAAATTATGGTTGAACTGGCTGATTTCTGGTACGTATTGTGTCGGACTGGATATTTTATTGGCTTTCCATCGTAACAGACTGGTTCACCTGCTATATAAAACTTTGTTTTATGGAAGTACATCCAAAGTTGCTAGGTTGAGTTGAGTCTGATTAGGACACCGTGTGTACATCCTTGAGAGAGGGGAGCTTGGGCATTTACAAATTTGCTATTTTTAATAACCTTTGGTGTGGATTTTGTTACCTAGGACGATAAGGGAATTGCTTTGTTCTTAGAGAGAAGCTCGAGTGGGAGGACGAGGAAGGCATGGTTTTTGGTTCCCTTGGCTTTGATGTGGTTAGTTTGGGGAGAAAGGAATGGAAGAAGATTGGAAAAGAAGCGCTGATTTTTAAATTAGAGAGTAGATTTCTGTGTTTTTTGTGTAGTTGGTTTTTGGGAGGTGGTTAATCCATCATTTTTTTTAGGTACATCGGAAATAAAACAAAACACAAAGGCCTAAGCCCTTTCCCTAGCGCTCTACCAATTATATCTGCAACAAGCAGACTCCATATCTCAGCCGGTGGCTCATTCACGACTAGGATATCTTATGGTTGTTCAGCTCCAAGTTTTGCGAGTGTATCAGCACACAGATTGCCCTCTTTGAATACATACTGCACAGTACATTCACAGCCTCTCATGATAATCTTGGCATCTTCTAATAGGCCTTTGTACGACGAGGTCGCCTCCGTTTCCTCCTCCAACAGTTTTACAGCTTGCATAGCATCCGTTTCAATTATGATGTTGTTCCATCCTCTTTGTAGCAGAACTGTTAAACCTTTATAGATAGCCCAAAGTTCATTTTCTAGGCTTGTACCATAAGGTATTCTGCCTTAGTAGCCACACAACCATGTTCCCGCTTCATCTCTAAATAATCCTCCAAAGCCACCATCACCACCTATCTTCCTGCAGCCATCCGTGTTCAATTTAATCCTACCTGCAGGGGGAAGAATCCACTTAATCAGATTAAAAGCTGGTCTGGCATTAACAATGGCCATGTTAAAGGCTTGGTTGATCTCTTTGGCATAGCTCAAAATAAGTTTCATACTGTCTTGGTTAAGAGTCGCAATTTGTTGAAAAAAATTTTGATTTCTGTTTTTCATATTTGCCAAAGACAGACAACAAAAATAGTATACCAGTTGGTTTGAGCATTAAAATGAGTTTTCTTTCTGGAATTGGAAACTAGCCAATCCAGCCAGGTTCTTGAATCATGGCAATATACCAAGGCCTACCAAACATAGCTAACCAAACAACTTTAGCTTTGTAGCAAGTTCGAAACAGATGATTCATGTCTTCCACCTCATTACAGCTGGGACAACTAGGGGCTAAAGACAAACCCCTTTGCTCTCTCAACTGATTAGTTAAGACTTTACCATGCATAACAATCCACAAAAAACTTTTAAGTTTCTGTGGTAGCCGTAATTTCCACAGCCAACTCCAGTCCTCGTCCAGTCCTAAGTTCCCAGAATTGATCTTGTAGGCACTAGAGGTAGAGAACTTGCCATCACCTAGACCTTTCCAAATAGGTGAATCAACATTAGCATTAAGAGGAGGTAAATTCAGTATAATTGATGAAACACGGGGTGGAAGTTCATTAACTTTCATCCCATCCCAATCACCTTGTTCATTAACAAGAGTGTGCATTGAGACATTCTCAGTACCAGCAACTTGATTTTGCAAAATTTGAGGAACAGACTCAACAAAAGGCTTGTCACCACACCACTAGTCACTCCATAAATCCACATTCTTACCATTGCCAATCTCCCATTTCACACCTTTCCTCAATGTGCTTCTGGTTTTCATGATGCCCCTCCACACATGAGAGGCAGGCCTACTTCTAGGCCACTCATTCAAGTTTGTTGTCTTAAGATATTTATTCTTAAGGACATCTTTCCACAAAGCACCTCCTTCACAGATCAGTTTCCAGCTCAACTTAGTAAGTAGAGCTAGGTTCTGATTTCTGGTTTTCCTAATCCCAAGTCCACCCAGTTTTTTCAATTGGCAAACCTACTCCCAATTGACTAAATGCACTTTCCTTTTTTCTATGGTGTCACCCCACAGAAAATTCCTGTGGAGTCTATGAATGTCATTACACACTTTCATGGGCACATCCATAGTTTGCATTGTGTATGCAGGCAAAGTAGAACTCACAGATTGAATGAGTGTTGTTCTACTTGCTAACGAAAGCACACTAGCTTTTCAACCAGCTAGACTCTTTTGCATTTTTTCCGAATTTGTGGTGAAGGGCCCTCTATTCACTCTACCATGAATAAGGGGGACTGCAAGATATTTCCCCAAGTCATCAATCAAAGAAATGCCACATCTGAGACTCATCTCTCTAGCATTCCTTAATGTTAGGGGAAGCATACAATTTGGATTTATGGGCATTAACTTTCAAACCAGAGATCTCACAAAACTCATTCAAGACATTCATAATTGTAACACAATTATTCATATCAGCTTTAGCAAAAATCATCAGATCATCAGCAAAGAATAAGTGTGGCAGGCATGGACCACCCTTAGCAACATGAACCCCTTTCCACAACTTATTCTCAGCCTTCGATCTGATCATATTAGTAAGCCTTTCGATACACAACACAAATAAATAGGGAGAGGGGGTTTCCCTGACTCAGCCCCCTTGCAGGTTTAAAATCTGGCAAGGGTTCACCATTTCACAAAACAGCAATAGTAACAGATGTGACACAACATATCACAAGCTCAATGAAGCTATTTTGGAACTTTAACTCCCTCAAAGTATGTTCAAGGAAGTCCCAAGATATGTTATCATAAGCTTTTTCCAAGTCAATCTTCAATATCATTCCCCCAAGTTTCCCTTTTTTATGGCTTAAAGTATGAATGGTCTCTTGGGTGATAATGATATTGTCACTAGTGGACCTACCAGGAACAAAGCTACACTGGTTGGGGCTAACAATTTTACTCAAAAGAGGTCTGATTCACCCAACAAGGATTTTAGAAATGATTTTATGGAACACATTACAGAGGCTTATGGGGCAGAACTGTTTGATAGTCTCAGGGTTCTCAATTTTGGGAATAAGAGCAATGAGAGTTCCATTGATCTGATGGGGTATAGAGCTGGTAGCAAAGCAATTTTTGACGAACTCACACACAGTGGAACCAACAATCTCCCAATAGGTATGGTAAAAACATAGCTTGGACCATCTCTACACCAATTTTTGAACCATCTCCCAATAGGTGGTTAATCCATCATTGAACCAATTTTTGTGCTTTGTAGAAGCTTTTGAATAGGTTTTCGACATATAGCTGTGATATGTTTTCTTTTGTATATTGATCGCAGCCCCTTAATATAATATTTTTATTTATTAACAAAAGGTAAAAAAAGAAGAATAAATTGGAATAATATAGATTTCCTGAACCTCTTGCCTTTTCTTCTTATTTACACGACTAAGGAAAAAAGTATTTCTTACAATTTACTTATATATAAAATGCGTAAATGCGCCCTTAGGAAATACACATAATTGTAATACATGTAATCACTCCCACTTCAGTGAAATTGATATGCTCATGTTTGCTATATTGCAGAGGAATCCGAGACAGACACTGAGGAATCTGATGTTAGTGGTTCTGATGGGGATGATACATCTTGGATTTCTTGGTTTTGCAATTTGCGAGGAAATGAATTTTTTTGCGAAGTTGATGATGAATACATCCAAGATGATTTTAATCTTTGTGGGTTAAGCAGCCAAGTTCCATATTATGATTATGCACTGGATCTAATTCTGGATGTTGAGTCCTCTCATGGTAAGTATTTCAGTATATTTAATTCAAATTACTTGCAAACTGCATGTGTCCAGGGTCTAGTACAGTTCTTGGGAGATATGAATACTACAGTTCTGGTTCCTCTTTTGATAAATGTTTACATCTAAACCAATTTTATAACAGATGATTAGAGCTGGCAACTTAGGGATTATACTGGAGTTGTAGTTATAATCATCTCTGTTCTATAAGTGCATCTTTTATACTTGCAACCTAGGAAGTATGAACACTTATATGAAGTAGGTGGGTAGTGTTGGTGATTCATGTTGGACACAACATTCTGCGGCACTCTTAAAAGAATGTTAGACACTTTTTCAACATGTCTTAACTAAAATTTAAAATTCATAATATCAGACACTTTACATACACACTTCTCGTACAGTTTAGTCGAACGTGACATGTGATGAATCTTTTTATAGTAACAACTATGTTCTGCATTATTGGGGATTCAACTCATGCACTTTAGATATGTTTTGAGACATTTATAAGATGAATATATAAAGTGTATTTCAATGTTTTACAACTATTTTGCATTCTTTGGAATGTACGTTAAATTATGGAATATATGGCATTTTAATTTTGATTAGTGTCCTATCTTTGAATCAACTATTCATATATTTGACATATAATAATTTTTCATCATGTCCTAGGTGGGTCGTGTATCCTGCATATTTTGAAAATTGCCTTGTTAGTGTGTCTTTGTCATGTTATGTGTACATACATGTTTGTGCTACTTAGCTTGAAATTTTGAAATATTATTATGATCTCTATGTGATTCCACAAAGAGATGCATTGCTCACAAGATTTATTGTATGGTTTTATGCAATTAAACAACTATTTGACTGTTAATTCAACTATATGTATGCTTCCTGTGTAAAGGTTGTGTCCTTTCGGCATGTCAAGTGAATAAATATATTCAACTTTTCAAAAGATATATATATATATATATGTTAATTAACTAAATATCTTAAAGTTAACTATTTTCTTTTTTCAAAAAACACAAATTTCTGAGGTGCACACCAATTTAAGCAATCACGACCAAGACATTGAAAATGAGTACTTGATTATCAAAACAAATAACTGAGCCTTAAGATGAATTTAGTTTGAACCTTTTGTTTCTAAAAGTTGCGACTGCTAATTGCTTAGAAATAGGTGCTTCTTCATGTTTCAGATTTTTTTCTTTTAAATGTTTATGGCCAACTTCGATTGTCCTGCAGTGGTTTACTTTCTTTACACGTGCTATGTGGGACGATGTTATTTTGTCATGCACATTAGGAATTCTTGCTACTCGAGGATGCCTTCAAGCACTTTGTTGAAAGATGATTTGATGAATTTTGAGGAGTGAAAGGCTTGGAAGCTCTTAATGATGAGATGATTCACATTCATTTGTTACTAAAACTAAGCTAATTTAGTGGTGTAAGATAACTTTTAGGGAATTGCAAGCCCACAAAAAAACTGTTTGACAGACTGAAAATCCATTGTCAGGAAGCTACAATGGAAGACTACATGTAGTAGTCTCAAAATTGGTAGCTCAGATATAATGGAGGACTGAAAATTCATAAAGTATAAAATTAATAAATTCTAAAGAATATGAGGTAACATATGAGATGTAGACTTGTAGAATTAACATTTAATATATAGTGAGAATAATATATTGTAAAATTTTTAAATAGGTGAACATGGATTGGATCTAGATTATTCACTTAAAAAAAAAAAAAATTGAAACAAAGAAATAGAAATTTAAAATTTTAAACATGTTTGGATAAAAGTGCAAATCCAAACATGTGACCTTTTTCCATAATCTTTTGTCATTGTTCGACGAAGAATCTCTGAAATGTGACCATGTTTACGAAGCTCATATACTTCTACAAGGGAGTCATATTTGTACTGTCCCGTAGTGGATACCGATACACCGCGGATACTTGCGGATACATTTCAGATACTTCCTAACTTGATGTTAATCTTGGGAAGTGCCATATCACCATATTCGTATTCCATGTTTGTATCCATACTTCTTTTTGCTTGAAGAAACCCATGTTTATGATGGTTAATGCACAATGAATCTTAATGGGTTCATGGATTCTGCAAGAAAATGAGAGGATAAGAGAGGAAGAGAAGAAAGAATGAAATTCTGGAGAAACGAAGAATGAAGGCTTAGTGTTTTGATAGGCTGGTTGAATGTGACATAAGCACATAAGCTTTTACCTTGTGTTATATTCCATTATGAATCTTATTAACCATACTCCTTTTCTCAATTAAATTTAATTTTTAGGCATTCAATGTATATAAACATAATCAAAAGGCTTGCATTCCAGGGAGAAAACTTTGTTGTCTCTATCATCTTAAATAATTGGTTCTATGGCATGGAGAAAAATTCTATGCAAACAGAATGTTATACATACATACCAGCACATAGATTGGTATGGTAGGGGTATTTTATGAATCATATTGATGGACCTTTTATTTTCTAGTGATGGATCAAAAGGAGTCCCACCATTCTCAACGAAACTTCTATATGGATACTTTCTGTTTAGGGAAAAAAATCACACTTCTGTCACTTTTCCCTTTGAACTAGCAATTTGAATAATTTTACACTTGTACTATTAAAAATATTTCATTTTTTCTTTTCTTTCCTTTTTTTTTTGGGGGGGGGGGGACAAAAAAGTTGTACAGGATTACAAGGGGTATACCCTAGGCTAAAACAAAACAGCACAGCTAATAGACGCATCACACGTTAAAAAGAAATCTTTGCAAGAACCGCATAACTAGTTGGGACGAGCGGCCCCTGTAGCATATGGGGGTCTTGAACAGAAACACCAAAAAGGAATCCAGCCAGAACAAACGATGGAGAAACCAAAGGACAAAATGATAATATGCACATCTCGCATCAAGGATTACTAACACTGAATATAGAAATAGATCAAAGCATACAGGAGCACCAGATTAAATTCTGTTCAAGGGCCACATATTAAGATATAGGGACCTTGAACAGATCTAAAGATCTGGGCTAGCAATGTAACACCAAACTAGGGACCTAGCAAAAGCCTTGCACAACCACAAGGATAGGGAGCCTATCAACAAACAAACAAACAATGCAAAAAATCCCTCGCACAAACAGCAACTTTGGCGCTTTAAGCAGCCAACATGTGCACAAATACAACAAAATACAAGCAAATGTAGCAAACTATTGTCTCCTGATACAACCAAATTAAGCAAATCATGTGCACAATTTTTTTGTATATGCCGGCTAATTTTTTTTTGAAAAAAATTTGTGCACATGATTTGCTTAATTTGGTTGTATTTTGTGTTCTATTAAATATTTTCAAAACAATTGGTTGTGTTTTGTTGCGTGGTATCTAGATATTTGTCTTCTTACTGTTATCAGTACCCTCAATTAAACATGTGTGCGCTGGCATGTGTGATATTCTGATTAACCTTGTTAAAGAGTTTGGGATAAAATGAACTAATGTCAATAGTTTAAGGAGAATTTTGTTCATATTGATAATTAGTGATACAAGTGTGATAGTGTGATGGGGCAAAGTCAATTTTCCTCTTTTGCTTAACACTACTTTATTATGTACTTTTATCTGAAAATTCAAAACTTGAAATGTTTATGCCTCAATTCCTCGAGGCTTGTGCATAGCTTCTCATTGAATACAACACTTGACCTTGCTTGCTTATATAGGAACTATGGTCTTCCCTAAAACTGTCAATCCCTATCATAATTAGTTCCTAATGAAGGGATCAATACTAGTGAGATTCTCCAGATAACAAAGCCCAGTGATCTGGATAGAGATGCTCTTTGCAAAAACTAAAATGACAACTGCTGTAAATTTTCTATGCATTGCCCCATCTCAAATGCTTCATCACAATGTCACAAAGGCCTTTGGCTTTAGTAGATTGCTTTGGATGATTCATGCGAAGGTTCGCTCTACATTAGAATTCTCCACTTGAGGCTTTGCAAAGATGAAAAATCCAGGGCCTTTTGCCTTGTGTTCTTTTGGCTATTTTTTTGGTTATTTGGGTGGACAGGAACACTGTCTTCGTAGTCAAATATAGAGAAGGACATGTGATGCAAGTTTGTTTTCTCGACATTCTTCAGGCATCTACTATATCTTGAATTAAAGAATGTGTTTTTGCGTAAGTTGTTATATTGTCATATTTTCTTATCTTGTCAATATCTTGAATTAAAGAATGTGTTTTTGAGTAAGTTGTTATATTGTCATATTTTCTTATCTTGTCATATTTTCTTATCAGATAGATGCCTTGACCAGAGGAAATTGAAATTTAGTTCCAATGGATGATTTCTTCAAAATCTGGATAAGCTTGCCTGTAGGTAGGGTGGGCAACGGTTTATTCAATCCGCACAACCTGCCCAAACCGACGCTACCTGCACAAATTCAGCCCTACCTGCACGCATAAACAGGGCGGGTGTAGGTTTATTTTTCAACCCCAAAATCGAGTTCGGGCTGGACTCGACCCTACCCGCACAGATCCGTATCCGCTTGCAAATTATGTTTAAAATTAAAAAAAATTCCCCACTCCCAGATTTTTTTTTTTTGGAACAGAACCCTACTCCCAGATTGATCCAAAAAAAATCCTCTCTTTGGTCCTCTTCTCTCTCTCTCTCTACCCAGCGCTCTCTCTCTCTCTCTCTCTCTTATCTTGCCATTGTCTTTCTTTCTCTCTCTCATCTCACCTACCTCTCTCTTCTCTCCTCCCCGTTGCCGTCACCACCACCATCTCTCGCCTCCTTACTCGCGGGCTCTTTCCTCTCCTCCCCGTCGCCATCTCTCTCCTCTCCTCTCGCCGTGATGCCGTCGTCTCTCACAGATCAGCCCCTGCTCCAGCGCCGCTCCATCACCTCTTGCACATCAACCTAGCCATGCCGTTGTTTGCTCGCCGCCGTCCCCTCCTTTTCTACCTGTCGCCATCGCCAATCGCCAATCGCAAACCAGATCTGGAGATTTCCAGATTTGGAAGATGTAGTAACTGCACACAAAAAAAAAAAAAAAAAAGTGTTTCATTGCACAAAGTATAGTATGAGTCCCAGATCTGAAATCCCCCATCTTCATTTATTTACGGTTTGCTGATTGTGGGTTTGCTTTGCTTGATGGCCTGGGGTATGCCCCAGTTTTGCTGATTGTGGCTTTGCTTTGCTTCATTGCACAAAAAAATTATTTTTCTTGTTTTTTCTATCTTTGGTTTGCTTTTGCTTGATGGCCTGGGGTATGTCCCAGTTTTGTTTTTTACCTGAGTTGCTTGGTTTGCATGAAATTTTTTGTTTTGTGCTTTTTTTTTGGCCCAAAAGCATATCTCAGGAAAGGGGGAAGGCCCCAAAGCAAAGCCCAAGAATACAATTTTCGAAAAAAAAAAAGAAAAAATCTAATTTACAAACCGCCTGCACGACCCACCCCGTGCAACCCACATTGTGGGCGGACGTGGTTCCATTTTTTTCCTAACCCGCACCCAATCGAGCAGGTCCAACCCGCCACCTGAACCGCGCATAACCAATCCGTGAACACCCCTAGCTGTGGGCATCCTTTTTTACAGTTTTTTATGAACCAAAATTCTTGCCTTCCATAATCCATTGATGGAATCAGATGGCTGACTAGCTCTCTTGAAAGGCCTCCAATAACCTTGTACTATTGAGATAGTTGCTGTTTGGTTGGGGTGATTTTAGTTGTGTGTTGGGGTGGTGAAGTCCAATGTTTTGGTTCATGGCATTGTGCTCAACTCATGGGGAAGTTCTTTATTTTTTCTATGCAACCCATAACATCATTGCACAGCTTTTTGGATTACTATTGGTATTTCATGTATTTTCTGGTTAATTATCGAGCATTAAATGCAAATGAATATCTTTTCCAGGCTGCTCTAAGTTGCAAGATATTGCTTGAATTATAGAATTTTTTTTATAATCTTCCCGAGAAACTGCTGGTACCTTTACATTTATGCAATGGATATTACTCTGCCTAGAGAAAGGCTGTGGCATGAATCTTGTATTCAAATGATATCATAGCATCTTCAAGTATTTTTTTGGGGGAAATAAAGAAAAAAAAAAATCTCCAGAGTTCGACCCTAAGAACAAATCAAACCCTAGGTTTTCAATTTCTTCAATTTAAACCCTGAAGGAGGGGAGGGTAACTGAGGGTGGATCTGAAGGAGGCGACGGCGGGGATGGTGGGGGATGGCTGCCGGTGTAGATCTAAAGGACGCAACAGTGGGGGAGGGTGGGGAAGCTGGACCTGAGGGAGGAGGGCTGCCAGGGGGTGGATTTGAGGCGTAGAGAGGCAGCGGCAACGGGGGAGGGTTGCCGGGAGGCAGCGACCTTTGATGTCAGCAGTGGAAAACTGTGAGTAGGAGGGGGGTGTGAAAAGAAATTTCGTGTAAGCACAAATTTGTAATAATTTTATTTATTTATTTGTAAATGGTGTATGTAATTACAAAAGTAACCTTACTCTGTTTAATTTACCTAATAGTAACAAATGGAAAGTTGAAATTGAAATCTAATCATAAGTTCAAGGTTTAAATTGACGAAATTGAAAACGTAGGTTTTGATTTGTTACAAGGGTCAAACTATAGGGGTTTCCTTTGTTTGTTTGTAATTTTTTCCTTTATAATAAAAAATCTGTGGACTACATACATATGTTCTGTTTGCGTGTGTTGGAATTTGCAACAAGTGTTTTCTTACCCTGGTATGGACATTCACAGGTGACTCATTTACTGAAGAACAGAATGAATTGGTTGAATCAGCAGCAGAAATGCTATACGGTTTGATACATGTTCGATACATATTGTCTACCAAGGGAATGGCTGCAATGGTAAGATTCTGAGTGAAGTTATTTCTACGTTGTCGTTTTTCTTTACCTATTTCCCATTGTCATTGTTAAGAAGTCGTCATGATAATCTACAGTTAGATAAATACAAGAACTTTGACTTTGGGAGATGCCCGAGAGTTTACTGTTGTGGACAACCCTGCCTTCCAGTTGGTCAATCAGATATTCCCCGTTCAAGTACTGTAAAAATTTACTGTCCCAAATGCGAAGATATTTACTACCCTCGATCGAAGTATCAAGGCAGTATCCTTATAATGCACCAATTTCTTTTGTTTTGCTTTTGGCTCTTTATGTTTCCTTTCTCCATTCCTCGGCCTTTGCTTTGGTATCTACTGCATTGTTTTTATAGATGCATTCTCTTTAGTTTATTATGTTTTCCCAATTAGTGTTACTGTTCCATTCTTATTGTTGAACTCAAAATAGAAATTTAAAGGGACAGATGAGTAGGTGGAAGGAGGTTGGTTTGGGTTAGTCATGGTGGATACATTCAAAATATATAATTTTATATGTTTTTTGTATATGAATATTTATTCAAAGGTAATAAAAAAATAAAATATAAGGCTAGTTTCAAAAGACGAGGGATTAATAGTTATAAATTACTTTACATTTTTTTTTTTTATTATCATGTATTACAAGCTATTTTGTTTGAACTCGTAGTGCGTTTCATCTATTTCTTAACAATAGACATGTGTCCCTCAGGTGTTTAAAAATAATACACTTTTGAATGTGTGACCGGCATGTTTGGAAGTGTCCGACGAGTATCGGTGCCCTACATGAATACCTTGAAATGTTTGTGCTTCTTAGGTTTACTTTGTCTAATCATGAATTTCCTTAACTTTGCCAAGATATTGATGGAGCTTATTTTGGAACCACATTTCCTCACCTGTTTTTGATTACGTATGGGCATCTCAAACCACAAAAAGCAACGCAGAGTTATGTTCCAAGAGTATTTGGCTTCAAGATCCACAACCCATGACAGTAGACGGCTAGAATTCCCTGCTGTTCAAGATCTCAATTTTGTGACCACTGGTTGTTCTCACTTTGTTTCTCTCAATGTACCAGGGGTTCTAACAAAGGAGGTAAGGTGCTTTAGTTCCGAAACATCAAAATTGATTAGTTGATGAAAAATCAATTCCCTCCTTTCTGTCCAGCAAACTTCTCTTTAAATATATCCATGAATTTAACTGAGCTTGTAAAATCTGATTTGTTTTTGAAAGTCAAGAATGGTTTATCTTTATTTTATTTTCATGTTTGAATACTGGTAAGGTAGAATATAGGTTCAAGACCAGTGTTGTCTCCCTGTTTGGAGGGCTCTGTGTTTCTTGATGTAATTTGATGAGGCCATTTGGTTTCAAAGGTAGAGATTAAAATGACATACATAAAAAAGTAATGGTTAGAAGATTTAAGCCGTTCGTTAACTTTTGCGGAGTGCTTGTATGCTTCAACCCTCTGGTGCTTGGGTCTCATAATAGCATCACATTCATTATATGTCAATTTGAGTTGCAATCTGTGTAAATTTGGATCCTGTGTTTTGTTGTCTTGTACTCGTGTGTTTCGAGCCTTCGTTGAGAACTCAATAATGTATTATGACTACTGAAAAAATTGCATGCTGCATCAAATAGAACGAGCAGGGGAGAGGTGTGCTAGGTACGAGCTTCGCTCGTTTGTTAGACTCGAAAATTAGTCCAGCTTATTGGCTCGGAAGTTAGTCCAGCTTGAGCTTGGCTCGTCTGTACCAATCATGAAGAGCTTGGATTGAAGCTCTATAATGAAGAAAAAAGTTCGGCTCGATAATCAAACTCGATCGGCTCATTAAATATTATTCTAAATGTAGATTTTATTTAAATAATAGAATAAAATGGGTTGCTTTATGAGATTCTAACTTGTGCTTGGATTGTGTATTAAACAAGTTTAAAATTTTGGCTTGGGTTCATTTATATGCATAAAGAGTTCTTATCGAGCCGAGTGAGTTGAATAGCTCGGTTTATTTGCAACTCAAATTGTCAAATAATTTGGACTCTGTTTTCGGCTCAAAATTTTGTTTGAGCCCTATTTGTCTGATCTAACCAAGAAAAGGAACTAGATTGAGCTTTAGGCATTTTGGATGATTGGATACATGAACTTTTTGAATGGTTACAACAATTTCTGATATTGAATCTGTAACGCTCCACCTCATAATAATCAAAATCCACCTCATAATACTAAATGGAAAAGTATAAATTTGTATGATATTAACCTTTTATTGATTCTATTTTTGTGTACAAAAAATGATATGTATATATACATTCATAAATTTTATATCCAGAATATATAGCACACGACATGTGCTAATGAATGGAAATAAAGGTAGTACAATTAAGTTTATGTCTTAATGGTTGTATCTTTTCAAGTCATTGCATGAGTACAACAAAAGTGAGTTAAACTCAATATATAGAAAGCTTAAGTCTTGCACAAAATAATTACACAAAAAGAACCTCTCGGTTCCAAGTTTTCCTAAGTTTTGTCTTTGAAAGAGGTATATTATCAGAACCTCAAAGTTATTTTTCACATAGGGTGAGTTAAAGTCCAATAGAGATACTTGAACACAATGTATGAAGTTTAACAAAATCATATAATGAATGCAATGCATGCCATTTGTCAAAAAATTATGCTTTCTTTTTCAATGTTTTAGTTGTATGTATACCAATTCAATAAACAATACCTTTCAAGTTGAGAAAATAGGATAGTAGATACAAAATACTGAGAATCTCTAGTTACGTATCTGCTTAGTAAGCTATACAAGCGCTACCAAAATTATTTTACTGGTACTAACCAAAAGGATTGGCAACTAATTATATAGGTTTTTGGACTTTCACTAAGAACACACAAACCAACATAATAAAATACAACCACACCTCTTAATCAGATTTATCAGGATATATATCTATTTTTTTCAAAATAAAATATATTCCAATATTTAAGTATGAAATAATGTTCAATACAAGATGTATAAGTAATTAATTTCAATTAACCTATTCTTCATGTAATTTTTACAACAATCAAAATTATCCTCCACTGATAGTCCATAACAGATATCTCTACACAATAAATAATTTTTAACAAGAAGTATAAATGTCAAAATCTCAAAATGGGAATGATAATATATATCCAACTTGACCCTCATCATTAATAGATATATATATATATATATATATAATTTTTTTTTTCTTCCTTCAAAAATCCATTCCTTATTCTTTCATAAACCAAATATCAATGATTTTCAAATTACACTTCCTTTGTTTTCAAAAACACCTTTAAAGAGGAGATTTTCAATATTTAACATATCTCAACAACTACACGCTCAAAAACTTTTCTCAAGAACCCATTTGAAAACCCTTTTTTTATCTGTCAAAATCCAAACCCTAAATCAAAATCCCCATCTCCCAAATCTCAACACTTGACAAGGAGCAAATAACTAAATTAAGAATCATACTAGAATGTCAAATAAATCTCTACCTCCAGTTTTGAAGAAGGAAAGAACAAGAGTAGAGATTTGACAAAGTTGAAAACAATATCTTCTCCAATTAGAGTGACCTTCTCGACGTGGTCTATGTTTACTCCTAAGCACCAAGGTGGTGGAATCAATGGATTATGGTGTATGGAAGGGTTTTAAACAAGAATTAGAGAGAAGGTGAAGAAATTAGGTTTAGAAATATTTTAGAAAGAGAAAGAAATGAAAAAGTGACTAAAAATTCTCTTTCCCCAATCTAATATACGCATAGACCCCTAGAGCGACCAAACCACCGCTCGAGCACACAATGACCTATCCCAGAAGTTTTGCAAACTGCAGAAGATCGCTCGAGCAAAGAAAGGACTACTTGAGCAAAGATCATCCTACTCTCTGAAGTTTTGCAGACCTACAAAAATATTAGGAGATGTTAAAGACCGCTCGAGCAACCAAAACACTGCTCGAGCAAACAAGAAAGGAACTGAACAACTACTCTTTTAAAAAACTAACTTCCAACTTGTTTCAAACACAACCAACAACTCCCAAACAACCAAACTCAACTAACAATAAGATAAAAATGTTATAAATAACAATTAAAGATATACAATTTCGGATCTAAAAATATCATAAAGATCGGTTCTAAACCGGAACAGTCATAGAATCTCTACCTACACACTTTTATGCATGCAAATAAAGTGATTACTTTGTGACTACTTTTTGGAAATGCTTTCAGAAAGTCTAACTATAAAGCGAAGTGATATAAACTTCTTTTGGGCTCATAATATTTGGCTAGCCTTCCATGCTTCTTTCACAAAATTTGATTGAATGAGTTGAAAACTTAAAACCAGAAACTACAAACTACAAATTTGAACCTAGGCACCAATAAATACTGAATAAATTTAAATTAAATTACTTAATAGTATTAAGATTATGAAGGGGTTCATATTTTGTGAAAATAATGAGAATATCTACAAATGATGATATACTTTTTGTGGGCTCTATTGTGTCAACATGTGCTTATTTCTGTACTTTAAGCTGTATTTAAATCATAAATTCAGAAAGGACGAAGTAAAATGTAAATGAAATATATATTTCAACTACATTTCACCCTTTTTTATTTTTCTTTTTAAACCTTTACTTAAATTCATGATATAAATACAGTTTTAATGCAATTTTTTTTTTTTTTAGATAGATGCTATGGTATCTTAAAATAAATCAGAATTTTCATATAGCTTATTGCATGCCTTCAATTTTAATTCATTCATTTAGCTTATTGCATGACTTAAATTTTAATTCATTAATTTATTTTTCTTTCCTTTTTATTTCTCTTCATAAATTTAAGATCTAAATATAGCTTAAATGTAATTCTAAAAAAATTGAAATTCATTCTTTCATTTTTACTTTCTTTCATTTTTTGGGTTAAGTTACGCTGACCTCTCTTGAGATTTTTATTTAAAAAAAAAATACAGTAAGTTTTACAAGTTTAATATAATTACATTAAATTTTTTTAATATTTTAATTTATATGAAACTTGGTTTTCATTTTATCATAATGTTGGTCGTGTAAATAAAAAAAATAATATTATCATTATTTTTATATTAAAATATATTATTTACTGTATTTATTTTTATATTTTCATACTAATTAATTTTTATTCTTTTAACTTTATTAAAAAAAATTAATGTAATTATGTAAAACTTATTATATTTTCTTCATATTTTAAGGGTGGTGAATGCAATTTGATTTTTCTTTTTTATTCGTAGGGGATATGCTCTAGGTTAAGAACTAGAAAGTCAAACAAGCCTCCAATCAATATTTGTCCTAGTTTTCAAAGTGTTCACATTATATTATACCAAAATGTGCGTATATACGTTAAATGCAGTGAGAGGGACGATATGATGAGAGTCAATAGTGTCTACTAAAGCCAAATCAAATTAGAGACTATCAAATGATCCTAGTCACCATCGGAGACCTTATACACACACTCTCACCCACTATTCTGAAAAGGAAATGAATTTGGAAAATTGGGGTTATTCCCTTGTTTCAATGACTTGGTCTGTTTTCCATCCCTTTCATACATACCCCTTCTTTTACTCTCTCTCTCTCTCTCTCTCTCTCTCTCTCTCTCTCTCTCTTGTTTGTTTCTCCTTTTCATTTTCTTTCTCTGTCATCTTGTCTTGGTTACCACATTCATTTGGAAATCAATCAAAGTTGATTCTAAAAAGGTCGGTTAGATGTTTTGGAAAGGCAGTGGCTTTGGTCCAGTCTAAGATCAGATTGGACTGTGTTGTTGGATCCGTGGAGGTCCACCACGGGTCTCATTTTGATAATCTGAACTGTTCCATGTGTAAAACTCGTCGAGTAGTATATGCCTGTTAAAATCACGTTGATCGGATATCGATAGCTATGTGAACAAAACAGTTTTTATCAACAGTTAATTTTTTCAGCGTCCATTTTTTTTTTATACAAAACTGATTTGATCACATAGCTATTGATATCCGATCAACGTGATTTTTTATAAGCATGTAGTACTCAATGAGTTCTATACATTGAACGGTTCGGATTATCAAAACGGGCCTAAAAAAGGACCCCATAAGCCGAACTGAACAGGTCCAGTCTTGATCATAACTTGAGACAAGCTGGACCGGTTTGGGAAAATAAAATGTGTTAGGGCAGAAAGAATTTTACATTGTGGGACATAACCCTGTTTGGTTTACATTGTTTTGTTAAATTGAACTTTTTATTTTTGTGTTTTTTTATATATTTATATGATTTTTTTAATGGTGAATTATACTAACGGTTTTTAATTTGGGATTTATGTCACTTTGATCTCTGATCTTTCAATTACGATATATTTGATCCTGAATTTTGAATCTCATTCTAAATAAGGGCAATTGAAGATACCGTTGCTCCATTTCAATGACAAAGTCGTCAATTTAGTAAAATATAAACTAATTTGATAAAAATAAATGTAAAAAAAATTATTTCTACCTTCAAAGATAG